GATTAAAAGTCTCTTCTTACCAAACCTCTTCTCACCAAGCCTCTTCTCTGCCTCTGTTCCTTTCTTGGGGTAGGCTTTGGGGTCTCTCTGAGGTTTGGGGTGGCAGAGAGATAAAGCCGAGGGCATCGTTGGCATCCAAGGGCATCGGGGTCTGTCCTTTCCTGTCCTGTCCTGTCCCCACTGTTGTCCTTCTGTGTCCCCTCACTCCTTCCAGCATCAGCCCCTGCAAGGGGCTCGTTCAGAGCAGGCAGGTGCTTCAGGAGCATCGGGGAGGTTGTTTTCCATCCCGGACCAGTTCAACCAGTACACAGTGGCTTTCTGGGGCACATGGACTGGTGAGACACAGCGTCTGCTCCTCTGCAGAACACCCAGCCAACAGTGCTGGGGGCTTATCCTGAGCCCTGGGGATCCTGGGAGTCTGGAGACTCACCCTGGAGAAGGATTTCCAGCCATCCCAGATGCCTTCAGCTGCTGGGAATTAGCTTGGCAACAGGTTTGGTGGGGAGAGGGGCTGCACCTTCCCTTCCTTCCCATCTCTGGCAGCTCGTTTGGCTTCTCCAGGGCTGATCCAGCCCAAGGGAATGTGAGGAAGGGGGGAAGAATTTGGGATGTGTCCCTGGGCACTGGGGATGCCATCGGGGCACTGCCATGGCCACGAACTGAAGTTGTCCCCCTGCACTGGCAACTGGGGAGGAGCAGGGCAGGGTTTTTGGGCACCTTTGCACCATCTGGAGATGTTGGTGCAGGAGTGGGGCAAGTGTCTGGCACAGCTGGAGGAGCAGCACTGCTCAGGGAAGGGACAGGAGGTGGCACAGGGGGTGTCTGTGCCCAGAGGGTGCCCAGGACTCAGCTCTGGGGGCAAACAGCCCCCAGGAGCGATGACCAGGACAATGGGACAGGTGGGACAGCTCTGCCCCTGCACAGCCCCGCTCTGGGGAGCAGGGATGGAGATCCCAGCGCCCCCTCCTCCTCAGCGAGGGGGCACGGGGGGGATGCAGGAACACAGGGCAGCCCCCACGGAGCCCACGGGGACCCACGGGAGGGGTCACTGCTGTGCTGAGCTGGCCGGACTCAGCCCTTCCTGTGCTCCCAGACCATCTGGAGCGGCCAGAAAATCCCAGAGCTCCCTGAAAACGGCTGAAGGAAATAAACTCGGGGGGTAGAAAAACAACACAGAAATGGGTCCAAATGTAGAATTTAAGCCAAATAACTACTTTGGAAAAAAAAATTAACTGAATTTCCTGTGGCAGTGAGGGAGGGAGATTTCAGAGCCTGGTGAGAGGTGAAGGTTGGTGCTGTCGGAACAGGGGGTGGGTTTTGGGTGTCCCATCTCAAACCAGCTCTGGACCAGGGTACGGACACACGGTGGAGCTGCTACAGCAACATCGTGCTGTGATTCCCTGAGCACCTCGGAAAGAGAAAGGACAGTTATCCTGATGTTCAAAGACAGGGAAACCGAGACGCAGCAACAGCTCCCGCACCTCTCCCATTCATTCCAAAGGCAGACGATCTCCACCACCGTCTCTGCTCCAGCCCAGCCTCCTCCCACTCCCAAATTGCTTTTATGGAGCAAAATTGCATCAGCGACGCTGTGGATGGAGCCAGATTCTCCCCAGAGCCAGCCACGCTCCCGTGTTTTCCCTGCCTCGGCTCCAGCCGGAGCGCAGGACACAAGATGGCACTG